CCAGGTGCTGGTGGTTCACGTCTGTAATCCTAGCTACTCAGGAGGCTGAGATCTGAGGATCATGGTTCAAAGTCAGCCCAGATAGGAAAGTCCATGAAACTTTTATCTCCAATGACCCACCAGAAAACTGGAAGTGGTGTTATAGCTCAAAGTGGTAGAGCACTCGCCTTGAGCAAAAGAGCTCAGGGACGGCACCCAGGCCCTGAATTCAAGCCCTACTACCAACAAAAATATGTTCTGGAGTCTGGAGGCCTGGTTTAGGAGGTAGAGCACCAGCCAATGAGTGAAAGCATCAATACCAGGTGTGAGTCCTGATCTCAATTTTTGTCTTGGTCCTGAGGCTTGAATTCAGAGCCTGAGCACTGTCCCTGAGCTTTTCTGCTCAGGGATGGAGCTCTACCAGTTGAATCACAGCTCCACTTTTTACTTCTTGGTGGTTAATAGGAGATAAAGAGTCTCACAGACTTTCCTGCCCTGGCTTCAAACTACCATCCTCAGATCTCAATAAGAGCCTTTGTATGCTGGGTGCAGTGGCTCACGCCTGTCATCCTAACTACTCAGGAGGCTGAGATCTGAGGATTGCGGTTCAGAGCCAGCCAGGGCAGGAAAGTCCATGAGACTCTTATCTCCAATAAACCACGAGGGAACTGGAAGTGGTGCTGTGGCTCAAGTGGCAGAGCGCTCACTTTGAGCTGAAGAGCTGAGGGACAGCGCCCAGGCCCAGAGTTCAAGCCCCACGACTTGGGGGGGAAAAAAGAACCTTTATGAGAACAATCATGCACCTCAATCCTCAGTTCTGGGACATCTCTGGGGCACTGTTCAGCCCACCATAGTCTTTTTTATTTCTTCTTGGCCCTGAGTCCCAGCCCAGTTGTACCTCCTGTTCTGGGGAGTCACCGAATGAATGAACTCCTAGAAGCTGGATCATGGGGAGTGGCAGGGAAGTGGAAGTTTGGTGAAGCAGGTTTTGGCTGGGGGAGAGGGAAGGGGGGGTTGGGGGGGGAGACAGGTGGCAAGAAAGGAAGAAACACAGGTCCCTGAAGGCTATTGGGGAAGGACAGGCAGAGCCAGATGAGCCACCAGGAGGCCTGAGATGGAGGCAGCTGACTGGGGCGTCCTGTTCTCCTGCATCCCCCCCCCCCACCATCGCCCTGGGGCTGGGCCTCCTGCAGCCACTCCGGTGAGGGGGGGGGAGGCCTGGGGATGCCCAACTTGCACAGCGGGTTTGGCAGCTCTCAGCATTTGGCAGAGAGAAGCCAGGGACCGGAGAGGATGGCGCTGCTGGCTGAGGCTTTGGGGGGGGCACCTGCCACTGGCACCCCCCCCCTTCTCTTCCGTGTATTCCCAACTCTGCACCTGAAATCCACTCAATCCGGCTCAGTCCCCAGGAGGGACTCCCTGCCTCAGACCCAGGGATCCAGACCCCAGCCTTTTCCCTCAGATCCAGGGATTCAGACACCAGCCTCCACCCTCAGCGCCAACATGGGGCTCCAGCGTTCGTCTGGGACAGGCAGCTGGCAAAGAACCCTGTACTCAGCCTGTCCACCTGCACATCTTGCCCCTCTCGTGCCAGCCCGGGGAGCAGTGCCAGGCTGGCAGCCATCTCCTCCCACAGCTCCAAGGCCTGCAGCCGGGGCTGCCGAGCCTGGGCAGCCGGGGAGGGGTGAGGTGGGGTGGGGCCTCGGTATCGGTCCCCAGGCAGCTCATCCCTATGGAGTAATCAGGGTGGAGAGCCAAGAAGGAGGTTTCTAGAACGCTGTACAACCCAAGATGAGCCCACTGATTAGAGGGGAGGCTAGGTTAGGGGCGGGGGCCAAGCCAGCCTGGCCCGGTCCCCTCCGCCTCCCTCCCTGCCCAGCCTGAGGTCTTTATTTTCTCCTCTCAGGAGCCCTGGGATGTCTGGGGGACAGCCGTGCCCCCCACCCTTAGACCCAGTGACTCAGTGTCCATCTTCCTGTGCCTCCTCCGTCAGACTGGAGGTCCAAATAGCAGCCTCCACCCTCAGACGCAGGAGTCCAGGCTTTCATGTGTCTTTTCCATCTCCACCCCATTCCTGTTCCTGGTTCCAGCACCTTGTGACTCAGCCCTTCCCCCTGCCCCCCCCCCCCCCCCCCCCCCCCCCCGGGAACCCAGCCTCTCTCAGCAGCCAGAGCAGCTGGTTCTCAGCTCCGTGATATTTGTGGCAATTACCAGCTTTTAATGGAAAGGTTGCACTCTGAAGGTGACAACGGCCTGATTATTTGAAAACATGACCTCATGACCCAGTGACCTCCCTGTGCCTGAGTCTGAGCTCCAGCAGCAAAATGGAGCATCCTAGCCCTGGGGGAGGACCCCCCCCCCCGTGAAGCCAAGCCCTCCCCCCACACCCAGGCTAGCTGGGAATCACTTCCTCTTCCTGCCTTCCTTCCAACCTCAGGACCCAATATCCAGGCCTGCCTGGAGGGGCGTTCTCATGGCAGGACCCCTCTCCCACGGCCCTGTCACATTTACTTACCTGTCTTGTTTGGGACTGAATCAGAGAAGGTCTCTGTAGACCCTGGAAGGGAGGAAGAAAGGAAGGAAGGAAGGGAGGAAGGAAGGAAGGAAGGAAGGAAGGAAGGAAGGAAGGAAGGAAGGAAGGAAGGAAGGGAGGGAGGGAGGGAGGGAGGGAGGGATATATGGATCAATAGGTGGGGGATGGGAGGATATGGGTGATGAATGAGTGGATGATGGATGGATGATGGGTAGATGGATAGAGTATGAATGGATGGATAGATGATGGATGGATGGATAAGTGGATAATGGAAAAATGGATGGATGGATGGGTGGATGGAGGATGGATGGAAGATGGATGGGTAGATCATGGAGAATGGATGGAGGATGGATAGAGGATGGATGGATGATAGATGGAGGCTGGGTAATGGATGGAGGATGGTGGATGAATGACAGATAGATGATGGATGGAAGAATGGACAGAGGGAGTGAAAACATGAATGCATGACTAGAAGGATGGAGTAGCCATCAGATTTTCATTACTATCACACAGTACCAGAAGCAGGCTGCTTATGAAGGACAGAGATGGATTTGGGGCCACACTTCTAGAAGTACCAGGTCCAAACCACACCAGCCAGGCTCGCGCGGCCCCTCCCTGCCAGTGTGTCTGCTCACTTGGGAGGGTTGTGTGCTTAGTTCTTTGTCTCTGCTTATAAATCTGGAAGGAGGTAGTGACAGGGCTCCCCTGGGATAACCTCAGCTAGTTATCCCCTCCCCAGAGTGCCACCTGTGCCCCCCTTGGATCAGGTCTCCGGCCTCTTAATTCCAGTCCCTGAAGACTTTGGGGATCAAATTCTTGCCTGAGCTATGCTTCAGGCACAACCAAGGGACAGCTGGGGGGGGGAGCGGGGACAGCGTGGGCAGCTGGTGCTCCTCCCATGGGCCCCCGCTGACGCCAAAGTCTTCCTGCTGTCCCCCACTCTCTCTGCCCTCCCAGATTGCTTCCTGACTCCCACAGGTCCAGGACCCCACCCTCCATTACAGACCCTCCCATGACTGACACCCCCCCCCAAATCAGGCTAAGCAGTTCCTCAGTCCCTCGTAAGAGAAAGGAAAGGGAAGGCAGGAAAGCAGGGAGAGGAAAAGGGAGGAAAGAGAGAGAGAGAGACAGAGACAGAGAGAGACAGAGACAGAGAGACAGAGAGAGACAGAGACAGAGACAGAGAGAAAGACAGAGAGAGACAGATAAAGAGACAGAAGAACCTGCTGGCACATGGCCAGCAGGTGCTCAACAAGTAGTTCCTGAACACACATGAATGAGCCCCACGCATGCTCACAGAGGACGCATGGGTGGGTGGGAGAACCCAAAAAGGAGCAAACACATGAATGAACGGATGGATGGGTGGAGGGACTCATGGTGGAAGTGAAAGAATGGATGGAGACAGGAAGGAAGGAGGAAGGAAGGAAGGAAGGAAGGAAGGAAGGAAGGAAGGAATAGTCCATCTCGAGGAAGGCATGGCTGAATGGATTGATGTTCCAATCAAATTGAAGGAATGGATGAATGAATGGATGAAAAGGTTGAAGGAATGAACCCAAGGCATTGATGGGTGATGGATGGATGCATTCAAACATGGATTGATGGATAGATGGTCCAATTGAAGGACTGGAGGAATACAGGATGAATGAATGCATGCATGCATGCATGAATGAATGAATGAATGAACAGTTGAATTGAAGGAATGAACCTAAAGCAGTAGTGGATGGATGATGGATAGATGGATGGACGGATGGTGAGTATGTGGATGGGTGGGTGGGTGGATGAGTGGGTGTGTGGATGAATGGGTGGTGAATGGATGGATGGATGGTGGATGGATGGATGGGTGGATGGGTGAATGGGTAGTGGATGGAGGATAGATGGAAGGATGGATGGATGAATGGATGGATGGTGGGTGGGTGGATGGGTGGGTGGGTGGATGGATGGTGAATGGGTAGGTGGATGGTGGATAGATGGTGGGTAGATGGGTGGATGGATGGTGGATGGGTGCATGAGTGGATGGATGAATGGATGGTGGGTGGGTGGGTAGGTAGATGGTGGATGGCTGGGTGGGTGGAAGGATGGATGGTGGGTGGGTGGGTGGATGGATGGTCTAATGGAAGGACTGGAGGAATACAAGAACGAAAGAATGCTCGAGTAGAAGGAATGCCCCTCAGGCAGAGACGGATGGACGCATGGATGGACCACAGACCGGACAACGGAGGGGATCCGGCTGCCTTGGCCGGGCGTGGCTCCGGGTGGGCCGCACCTGGGCAGAGGCGGGGTGGGGGGCGGGGGAAGCAGCG